TTTTCGTTAGTCGCGTAGACACACTCGTTGATAAGTTGCTTGAGAAAATTGGAAGTCCAGAGGCTCTTGATCTTCGTGGGAAGGTAACTGATAGAACTGATCAAAGCTATACCTTGGTTGGAGACTGTATATCACTTTGTTTTGACCTTAACTTTCCATTACAGGCTGCAAATGCTCAAGCAGCTCTGGCTTTCCAGTTGTACCAGAAGAAATTTTCTGGTCCAAGGTGGGAGGCTCTGGTGAAGAAGGGTGCGAAGAAGCAGAGGCTTCTGTGGGCATCAACCAGTGTTAAGAATCCAGCTTATCCGGACACTCTGTATGTGGATCCTCTGATTGGACCAGACACGGTGAGTAATCTTGTCACTTAGTTATTTGTGGTGATAAATATACTCCACATGGCTGAATGATAGTTGACATCTTGTTCTGTTCTTCCCGCCCTTTACATCTAGGTTTCAACCATGCCTGATCAAGCCCTCCTAGCATTTATCGATCACGGCTCCGTTGCAAGGACAATCGACGCTAATGTCTCCGAAGCGGAAGGTATATACAATGCCATCGATAAGTTGGGCGTTGACTGGAAGCAAGTCGGCACTCAACTTGAAGCCGAAGGAGTGGACTCTTTCAAGAAGAGCTTCGATAGCTTGCTCGACAGTCTGCAGGAGAAGGCAAACTCCATCAAGCTAGTTTCCCTGTAAAGCATATGAATTCCATTTTGCCCAGCAGAGGACTTAGAGCTTAGTTGTGGAAGGAATAAATAAAGGCAATTCTGCCTGGATTTGAGAATACTGAGCTTTTTAAATGTATAAAATAACATGAAGTGTTTGTGCTTAAGAATTTATCACTGCTCTGGTCCTATGTCCATTTCATTTGTGTTTTAAAATTTTTAATCTTTTAATTTTTTGGGTAAGAAAATCTTTTGAGTATTTATAATGTCAGAATTTTCTGGAATTTCATTGAACTTATAATCTGAACCTGCCAAATTTGTCTTTTCTTGCTCCAAATTTTGAGTAAAAATAATTTCTGAATATTTATAGTAAAACGTGTAAAAGTTTTGAAATTAACACAATAAAACGAGCTAAAAAAGAAAAGAAAAAAAAAAAAGAGAAGTATAAAATATGAGGCCGTTATAGTTCCCGGAAGCTTCTTCTCCCTGCGAGTGTCTCCTCTTCTGCTTGATCGGTTCATCGTTATCCCACGTCAGTAACATTAAAGTTCATGGCGGCGACTGCGGCTGCGGCGTCGATCTCACTTGTCGGAGCGCTTCCAAAATCTCGCTCACGAACGCCATCCTCTTCTTCGAATCCAGCGGTATTGCTCTTTTACATTTAATTCGTATGTTTGAATAACATTTCTCCTTTATTAATGGATTCAATGTCTCCCTCTTCCCCAAATTTCCCCCAAATTTTAAAGCTATTAACCTGTGAAATCAATTTACTATCTAACAGCGTAGACATAGACACATTTCTCAGCCCAGATTCTCTATTGGATTTCCCGGTGGAGAGCCCTGTATCCCAGTATCCAACTCGGTGCCTGGTTGGTCTTATTTTCTCTCTATGCGTTTTTGGTTCCTTTTTTTTTTTTTTTTTTTTTTTGAAATTTTGGTAATACTGCTTTAGTGCTTTTCCATATTCGCTTTTTGCTAATTTTGAATGGAAAATTCTGTCATTTCCTCTATCACTTTCATACGCTCAAGATAAAAGTGAAAGGGTGGATTATGGATCTCTGCCCATTGATCGGAGAGAGCTTATTTTGTCGTCCATTGGATTGTTAGCAACAGCTGTTTGCGCTACTGGAAGCAATGGAGCTGCCTTGGCATCTGAATTCGTTGACAGTAACTTCTATGCCTGCTTTCACTATCTTATTTTTTGTTCCTATCACTAGTATTATTTGAGGAGTGTTTTGTTTTTGTTTTTGTTTTTGTTTTTGTTTTTTTAAAGGAGAATAAATAGTTATATTCGTCAGTTTGAAACTGCATTTGTAGTACTTGTTTGTTTACTAAGCTTTTGTGGTGAATTTACTGAACAAATTAAGAAATAAAGTTGAATGGCATAATTACTGGGTGGTTTTATATACACATTCACTGTCTATCTGCCATTCTGTTGTTTACTTAAATAATATGGTCATTTAGATATGCGGGTCTGCATTAGCTTTAAAGACTAATTTTTTGTCCTTGTATTAATGTACAGTGCCAGCATTGCGGGGAAAGGACTATGGGAAGTCAAAGATGCGTTTTCCTGACTACACTGAAACAAACTCAGGTCTCCAGTATAAGGTCACCTGTTTTGAAGCATAAATATGGAAATCCCTCGTATGTTTTTTTAGTGTGGCATACTGGCATGAAACTGAACTTGACTCCAGTCTGTCAAAGAATGCAGGATTTGAGAGTAGGAAGTGGCCCCAATCCGAAGATGGGAGATACAGTAGTGGTAAGCTTGTGATTGTAAATAATACACATAGTACCCTTATTTTCTTTTATACTTAGCTCAATTATCCAATAATAACAAAGAAAAGGGTGCACATAATAGAGAACATAATTGATTAACTTAAGCAGAGTTTTCCTAATTTTGTGCTAATGTGTCCTTAGTTTAAGGGAGTCCTGGTAGTATAGATGTTACTGTCGGTGCTTAGTTATAAATCCTTGATTGTGTCAGTGTAGTATGTTTAGAAATATAATTTGTTTTGTATTGCTATCCAAAGTTGCTTAGCCGTAGTCTTGGATTGATTGGGCAAGAAGCTTGTTTATAAATTTTAAATATATCGCAGGTAGATAATATGATATATAAAGGAAAAATATTAAATTAATGAATTGCTAGAATTGCCTATATTGTCAGCTAAAGTTCTGTGCCAAAGTGGCTTGATATTTTAACTTTGCTATCCATTTTGTTATGAATAACAAATTATTCATTTGGTGTACATCTCAGTCATTTCTGTTTTTTGCCGGAAAGCCATATTTGACTTGGTTATAACTAGTCTATTGATTTGTTAGTTTATTTCAGTTAAAATTTTTCTGGTTTATAGCAATTTCTAATTTGATTTTATTCCATGTCCTAAGTTACTTGCTAATGCTTTCTTATTGGTTTAATGAAGGATCTGCTTATTTTGTTAACTTTTTGGCATTAGGTTGACTGGGATGGTTATACTATAGGATATTATGGTCGCATATTTGAAGCCCGTAACAAGTCAAAAGGTGGATCCTTTGAGGTATTGACTCAAAATATTAGTGGGGAATTTATGCATGAGCTTATTGTTGCTCTTAAACTGATTGATGCATCATACTTCATTATGGTGCAGGGGGATGACAAGGACTTCTACAAATTCAGATTAGGATCTCAAGAGGTAAGATATTTTCTTTGGTTACTCTTTGTATAAATTGGCTAGAAAGGGTCACAGGAATTAATGGTATCATCACCATATTATTTCCTGCATCTTCTAATTCACCTTTTTTTTTTTTAATGTGCCATATTTTATGATCCTAATCGTAATGTATAGAGAGAGACATACAATCTCCTCTAAGAAAAATGTCTAACAGTGTTGCTGTTGCTCCTCACATTCAGGTTATTCCTGCATTTGAAGAAGCCCTTACTGGCATGGCTGTGGGTGGCATCAGAAGGTTCTATATCTCCACTAATGTTGTAAACAGTGCCTTTTGTTTTCTTTGTTTTAATGATTATTGCATGCATAAACAAATGTAGAAATATGGATTTCTTTTTTGGTACAAAAATTTTGCGAATGCCCACTTTGGGTCTTGATAGTAAAGCCATGGATAATCCCCCCTAACCCAAATGACCAAGAACAAGTAATATTCAGCCTGAAAAAAAAAAGAGAGAAAAATCCACCTTGTGATTCTTATTGCAGCTTACATATCAAGGCCATCTCAAAAAGCAAGCACGTTGTGGACAAGTAGCTTGAGAATAGGAGTTTTTGAAATGAGTTAATGAATCGAAGTGGGAGCGAGTTTTTGTTAAGAAGTATCTCTAAGCTTCTATTCTGTGTTTCTTGTGGGTATCCTTGTCACTGCCTAACTTTTGCACTTAAGATGGATGATCCCCAATTAAGTTCTCTAAGCAGACATGGTAGGATAATTGTTACTTTCACCGTCACCTACTAGCACACCCTAGTTGCTTTCCTCAGGAAGTATGCTATTGCTATTTTATTCTCTAGTACGCAGATATTTTATACTCTGCCAAATTCTTCATGATTTCTCCCTTACAATAATGCAGGATCATAGTTCCCCCTGAGTTGGGATATCCCGATAATGACTTCAACAAGAAAGGTCCCAGACCATTGACATTCTCGGTAATCCAGCGCTTCTTATCTGGCTGCGGCCTTCACTTGTACAACCTTTTCCTCTGAAAATCCCTTGATGTTGGTATGTTTTGCAGGGCCAGAGAGCTTTAGCTTTTGTGTTGAACAACCAAGGTCTGATTGACAAGACTCTCTTGTTTGACATTGAGCTTTTAAAAGTTATACCAAGCTGAAGCCCAGCTACTTCACTTCATGATGCTGTAAATAGTTGCTTCTCTCGGACACAGTTTATTGTCTACTTGAAGGAGCAGAGGATTGATGATATAAAGATTTCATTTTCCCATTTCATTGTTAGAAATTCTAAAATGTCACTCTCTGAAAAAACCATTGTATTGTGCTCACAAGAATAGATGTACAACTGCCTTATACTTTCCATTGAGTAAGAATGAATGTTTGCAGATTTATTCTTGACTTCTTGGTATTTGTTAATCTGCTTACAAACTAGGAAATTTTAGCATGTTTCATTTTGCCCTTTGTAAGGTTGACTAGGGGTGGCAACGCAAATTTTGCCGTGGCACCACGGTTGCAAAACCCTAAACCCTAAACACCCGACTTTAAAAAAAAAAAATCAGTTTCGATTGCCATTAACAGCGTTATGTTGTGCATAATTTAAACTATATATCCAGAATGAATTATATACTTGACTTGGTAATATTAGGCGTTACTCACAAAAAGATATGAAAACTAAAAAGAGAGAACAAAAAAAAACTAACTTAATAAAGTTACTCACAAAAAAGATATGAAAACCATACATTTGTTAACACCACATTCAAGAGTCAAGACATTCAGATCTAGAAAAAAGCAGAGGAAAACTATCAAGAAACCAAGTAGAGAGAGGAACTAACAAAACAATGATAATCGAACAAATTGCAGTCTTGTTCAGCACTCAGTCGATAGAAAGCTTGCGACGCTTGTACCTTACCATGACCTTCCCTTTGACACCAACCACCATGGCATTCCAGTCGATTTCCGGGAAGGGCGAGATCAGTTCAAATTCAAAATTCCTCAGCAAGTGGCTCCATATTGCTTTTATCTGTAAATACGCAAATGGTTCGCCTAAACACCCGTGCCTGCCTCCACCGAACGATATGTATGAGAACGGTCCAGCCGCCTTGTCTTCGTCTCTCTCGGGGGAGAACCTGTCGGGGTCGTAAGTATTCGGTTCTCGGTAGATGTGAGGGAGGCGGTTAGCAAAAGCGGGCGATGTGGCCACGATGTGACCCTTGGGAATGTCGTAGTTTATTCCCTCCTTGGTCGTCACGCTGAAATCGCTGTGCGAACTTCGTAGAAGCATTATCAATGGCGGGTGGAGTCTCAGAGCTTCCTTTATGCATCTGTACAGGGTTTCCATCTCGGACAAGATATCGTGATCGACCTTATTCCCGTGCTTCCTCATCAGATTCTTCTGCTCATCCACCACAGACGACATGTATTTATCGTTGCAAAGGAGGTATGCCCCGGTCCAAGTTGACGTGATAGAGCTAGTGTGCTGGCCCGCAAATAAAGCGGCAATGAGTAAGCCGGTAACTTCAGATTCCGTGGTTTGGCGCCCGTCTTTGTACTTGGAGTCTATGAAGCATTGCAACATATCGTTTTCGGCCTTGCCCGTTTTTTTCCGGGAAGCAATAATATTCGAGAAAATCTCGGCTAGCTTCTTGCGGGCCCGGTCACGTCGTCGGTGTGCGGGAATCGGTAGGTACGGGAAGATCACACTAATGGGCAGCATACCGTTGTCCAGATCATGAAATAGAGCCGACACGTCAGCAAAGAGCTGGTTGCGAACTTCTTCGCCCAACAGACATCTGCTAGCCGTCAATATGATCAAGTGCTCCAGTTCATATTTTAAATCCACTTCGCCACTCTCTCCCCATTTCGAGAAGTACTCCTGCACAAGAATGGACAAACGTAGTCAATGATTGAACCTCGGGAAATTGGATTTAACATACCTCATAAAGTCATCTACTTCGTCAAATTTTATTCACAGAGAACAATGCAAAATTTAGCAATTAGAGCAACAATCTGACATGAAAATTTATGTGTTCATTTCTTCTGATTCCTAGGCAGCAAAGGCAACTCAAAGAGGAATTTGGATATCATTCTCCTAATAGCATTAGCACCGAAGCAAAATCTAGACAAAACATGAGACATAGTTTATAGGAAATAAACCAAAGATAAAAAAGAACACGACTTTTGTAATACCCACAAGATAAATCTATCAATTAGCAGATGTATTAGATAATTGGTAATATGCCAAAGCAATGCAGCAACAAGTAGTCTCTTGCTCCCACCCATAGCCAGTGAACCCACTAGAGCAAGGGTCATTTTCTTGAAGTGTGAAGATACACAAAAAATACAATGTATGGTCCGGCAATTTGTTATTTGTATCAACAATGCAAAAACCTCAGCCAAATTGGTCAGACTGTTAACTTGGTAACCATTACAAGTTCAACTCCCGGCCTATTGGCCTTCTTGGTTTGAGCTCATCAGCTATGGACAAGTTTACCTCCAATTGGTACTTTGATGGCTAAGGTCAAAAGGCAGGGTTTACCGGGTGCACACACTCGGTTAGTGGCTGCAAATTTCTCTCTGTCACTATTATCACAATGACCAGCAAGAGAAATAGCCACAATAAAAGTCAGTTGGTCACAAGGGTGAAGTTTGGAAACAATGACCTGTGATCAAGTCTCACCAACAGCAGTGTGAGAGCAACCTCTCAAAGGCAATAAGCAAAGGTCTAGCCTCTGTGCTCAAAGGTGTTACCATGATTGGTGTTACCATGATTTACGTCCTACCAGATGCTCTGCCGGGCCGGGACCTGGGCGTGGGCCTTGGGGTTAGGGATTCAACCTTTTGGGAACAACAATAAAAGTCAACCAACACAGATACAGTCATAAATGTAAGACTTCAACTCAACCAGACCACAATTGCACACTTCAGAAGCAATATGTAATACACATTATAAATCACAGTAATTGCACCAACTAGAAAGAGAGAGAGAGAAGAGTATATAACTATATACCTCAGCTTCCATAACCATCTGATCTACATAGCCTTTCAGCTTGTTGACTCTAAGAGACTCAGTGAAGAACCTGAACTGTTCTTGTCTAATAGAGTAGTCAACATCAAACACCACGCCCGGCCCGAACGTGGGCACATTGAACTGGTACACCTCCTGCTGGCTGAGATCGGATTCCGGGGCCTTGAAGAAATGGGCCGAAACCTCTGGCCCGATTAAGAAAGTGATGTTCTTGTTCACCAGATTCAGGGTGAAGACGCTGCCCAGCTTCGCGTACTCTTCCCGGAGCATCACAATCGGGCCTTTCAAGAACCGGACCAGCCCGCCCACCACCGGCAACGTTTTCACCGTCGGCGGCAGCCGCTTCTTGGATCTGGGCAAGATTAGGGCGGCGATCAGCTTCGCCGCCACCAGGGTGGCAATGAGCAGAAGACCCACATTGATTACCTTGTTATCCGCTAAATCCATCGTTACCTTCACGAGATTTAGGAAGGAAAGAGTGTAAATAAATGGGATTTTGGGTCTAACCCTCAAGAAAACATCGGAGATTCCAAAGTACAATGCATTAACGCAAAATTAAGGAAAAACATGTAATTAGAAAACTAACCCGAGGAGTTGAGGAGAAGATTCCTAGTATGATTGTTCTTATAAATGCGATTCAGACCACATATATTGCTGCCACTCCGTCAGTAAGGCAGCTCATCACTTATACAGCCTGTTACTCTGTTAATAATATACGATTTTCTCCTTTCCCTAAAATTACGGTGGGCGTTCAGCGAAATATAGTGGTATATTTAGTGAGGGAGCATAGCTATACAATTCAACGTGGCTTTAAAAGGATCTTGTATATATAGTGATATAAATTTTATTTTTCATTCAGTATTATCTATTTTTGAGCGTATAAATATATCAATTCCTTTGTCCCTCTACCAAGAATCTGAATGGACCTAAATTTAAAGTGGATCTCATATATATTTGTATCACAAAATAGTCAATTTCAATGTCATTTTTATGTTATTTTCCAACACTTTACAATATTGTAAATTAAACTGTCAGTAAGAATACAGCTTACATAGTACAATATTATCATATCAAACGTATGCCAATAGTTATTAGTATAGTTAATAGCGAAAACATAATTAATTTAGCATATACTAAACATAATTTTATTTATCAATCATTTAATTGTCATATTAAACGTTAACCACTATATCAAAAGTTATAACTAGTTGTGAATATACAATGTTATTTCAGTATACTCTTGTGTAATAATCAACACTATGTTTTTATGTCTTCATATAACAAATGTATAACTTTACAAAACATACGACATTACAATCTATAATATTGTAAAATTTTCCAAACTACTATAGAGTTAATTTCTAAATCTCTTGTAAATACCAATAAAAAAAGTATTTTTCTCTACTAAAATAACTTTTTAACATTTTTTTTAATTTCATGACATTATTTATATGACTTAAAAATAATTTTTTTATTCACTTCTCTAACTTGAAATAATAAAAAGTTTGTATAATAAGTAGATACAAAAAGTGTAATATAATCACAACTTTAATGATACTCCGTACTCCTTAGTATACAAATCTAATTTCTGTAATTTTTTGTTTGTTTGTTTTGACGTACTTAATCCTTCAATTTAAATATTATTATAACTTTGCTCCAAATATCAGAAATATCCCACTCTTTGTGATATCTCAACAAACTCCATATGCTGTACATAATGACAGTTAGGCAATTTAGATTGAATGTAATACTCCGTACAATTTCAATAATAGAGAAGATACACATCAAAAAAAAAAAAAATCAACTTAAACTGTTGTAAATAAATAGATGTGGCAATATATCTATATTTGTTATAAATTTATAGTTATGAACATATACTACATTGTAATAGCCTCCATCGAAGCTCAAATCCACAATCTCTTATACAGAAGAACAATCTCTCATATGGCAGAGCAATTTGGTGCCACTAGATCACAAAGTCTTTGGGTACAATTGTGTTTTTAATACGGAGTAATTTTTTATTTTTTATTTTAATAAATATGACATGATATGTACAAGAATATATCACGGATGGGGTAGATCGGGTTTCAAAAAGATGTTTGGAAAGGAATCGTTGGAAACAATGGGCCTAACCTGCAGTTTAACATGGAATAGTGGATTCACTTTAAAATTCAGATCGAGATTAGTCTGTAGTTTAGGAATGTCGTTTAGTCTAAGAGCAACCAATGTTTGAAGTTAAATATGGGGTTTTGACAGGTGGGTGCATGAGGCCACATATATGGAATTATTCAGTTATTTGGTCAATGCAATTATTCAGCATAACCTTTCTTCCTATTTCTTACATCCTTTATTCTATTCTTCTTCTCCCAAAATGTTAAATCTCCAATTCCAAAAATTCCTCAGACCCTGACTCGAAAGAACATTTGGGAAAATGTAAATCACGCTAACTCAATAGCTCAGTAGACATGCACAAAACAAGGTAAAGATGTCATTGTGTGACACGAACATAAACGACAACAACAAATAACGAGAGAAACCGGAAGGCGCCAAAAAGTTAGCAAGCTAAAGTGCAACATGTAGGGGGAAAGGGTTGTGGACTATTATAGTGGTGGTTGGGCACTGCTCCAAGGCGAGAGAGTTAGGTAAATTGATTCATATAGTCTAAAATATAACTCTTAATCAAAAAAATTAATATTATATTTTCACAATTTATACCAAACAAATAAGGCAATCTTACATTTTTAAAATATTACATATATTACATTACCTTTGAAGGAGTATTTTTTTTTTTAATTTTTATTTTTTACCTAAAGTAATCAATAATCATACATTTCGTGAACCAAACACTACCTAAATATAGTATTTAATTTAGGAATAAGGGTCAAATAGGTCATCCAACTACACACCAAAATGCAATTAGGACACCCAACTCAAAAAAAGCTACAATTAGGTCCTTGAACTACACACAAATTCATACAATTTCACCAAAAATGACTTGTTTACCTATTGTGTGGGTTACAAAATTAAAAATAATTTTTAAACTTTTATTTTAATAATTTTAAATAATAAATTATTTTAAAATTAAAAGAAAAAAAAAACTAACTGCCGGAGACGAAGGGGTGGCTGGACGGAAACGAAGGGGTTTCGTCCAGCAATGGAGACGAAGGGGATCCCTTTGTCTCCGGCCAGCTATGGAGACGAAGGGTTCTTCATGGCTGGCCGGAGACCCCTTCGTCTCCGGCTGTTTTTCTTCTTTTTTTTTTTCTTTTTTTTTAAATTTTAAAATAAATTTTTATTTAAAATTATTAAAATAAAAGTTTAAAAAATATTTTTAAGTTTGGTAACCGACACGTCATCGTATCAATAGGTAAACAAGTTATTTTTGGTGAAATTGTATGAATTTGTGTAGTTCAAGGACTTAATTGTAGTTTTTTTGAGTTGGGTGACCTAATTGCATGTTGGTGTGCAGTTGGATGGCCTATTTGACCCTTATTCCTTTAATTTATATTAGAGTCCACCTTGTGAGCATATAGTCATTAACGTTCAATCCAACTATTAGCTTAAGCTTTTAGTTGAGATGGAGCACATGCTTTAATTTGGTATCAGAGTCAGACCAAATATCATAAGTTCGAGTCTCAACGCTACTCATGAGCGACTACGGTTTACCGGTCCACGTGTTGTTTGGAACCCACCGCAGTCTCAACGCTACTCATAAGCGACTACGGTTTACCGGTCCACGTGTTGTTTGGAACCCACCGCAGTCTCAACGCTACTCATAAGCGACTACGGTTTACCGGTCCACGTGTTGCTTGGAATCCACCGCACACGTGAGGGGGCGTGTGAGCATATAGTCATTAACGTGCGATGGTGGTAGCTCCAATGCATATACAATAACTTTTGTTCACAATTATTAGGGCATGCAAGTTATTATTTGGACGACTATGGTCCACATAGTGTTATATGTACCATAAAAAAGTATATTTTTAATATATTAAAAGTATATTATTTGTGTATTGAATGTACATTATACAAAATAATTTACTTTTAATATTCAAATAATGTATTTTCACTAAAAACAATATATATTTTTAATATACTAAAAGTATATTATTTGTGTACTGAAGGTACATTATTTAATAGTATAAAAAATAATATACTTTCAGTACTCAAATAATGTATTTTTGGTTACAAATAATGTACTTTTTATTTATAGTCCACCCCAGGCATACATAGGCCTAGCTAGCTTTTGGGGCAAATTATGCCTTGGACCCGTGTGGACACGGGCCCAAAACAACGTCGTTTTTTTAAAAAAACGCGTCATTTAGTTAAAAAAAAAAAATTTCGCGCACGTTTTGCCGTTAACGGCGTTTTTTTTTTTTTTTTTTTTTGATTATGAATATACAGTTATGCCATTATGAATGTACAGTTATGCCGTTATGAATCTACAATTATGCAATTATGAAATTATGAACACAGAGCTCTAACATTATGAACTTACAATTATGAACATATATAGTGATAAAATTATGACCATGGAGCTTTAAAATTGTGAATATAGAGCTTCGAAGATTATGAATGTACAGTTATGGAGTTATGAATGTACAGTTATAGAGTTATGAATCTACAGTTATGGAGTTATGAATCTACAGTTATGAGATTATGAATCTACAGTATGGAATTATGAATGTACAGTTATTGATCGAATTATGAACAAAGAGCTCTAACATTATGAACTTACAATTATGAACATGTAGTGATAAAATTATGAACATAGAGCTCTAAAATTGTGAACATAGAGCTTCGAAAATTATGAATGTACAATTATGGAGTTATGAATGTACAGTTATGGAGTTATGAATGTACAGTTATGGAGTTATGAATGTACAGTTATAGAGTTATGAACGTACAGTTATGGAGTTATGAATGTACAGTTATTAACATATAGTAATAAAATTATGAACATATACTCATATAACGAAGCGGTCTGAAATTAAAAAAAAAAAAGAAAAAAAAGAAAAAAAAAAAGAGATAACAGTGCCTAACGACACTGTTACCCGTGTCCAGCAAGCATGCTGGACACGGGTCCAACGCATAACGATTGGCTTTTGGGGTCTTGAATAGCTTTATTAAACTTGATAATTCTAAATTGATTGGATCAATTAAATGATGTCAAAATTGATTGGATCAATTAAATGATGTCAAGACTCAATATTCTATCACCATTGGACATGGCAAATTATTCTGTGGACCCAATTCCACCTTATAAGTTGGACTCGGATGTAAAAATACACAATTTATATATTGAATATTTACAGTTTAAATTATAAATCTTCAATATATAAATTATGTATTTTACCCCGGATATACTTTGTAAGTTGACCCGGGTCCATGACATGACTGTCGCTTAGACATGCAACCAAGTTTCAAGTTGAATGGAACGAGGTTTGAACAAAAAGAGCCCAGTCTTATGGCCCACAAGTTGTCTTGCAGGCTAGACTGTGGCCTGCTATGGTCCAAACAAAGATTAGTATGGGCTTGTCATCACTTTAAAATAAATGGAAGGTTATGGATGTAGCTCTACGTATACTAATTTCTAGACTAAAAGTAATATTCCCACCATCTATATTTATTATTATTATTTATTAATAATAAAATCAATTATGTCTCCATTCTTATAAAATTTAAATTCAAATTTTTATATTTAATAATATTTTAAATGTAATTTCTAAACATATCAATTTTCTATTTAATATTATCAGGATCTAAAGTGTCTAGTGTCAGCACCGAGTGCTTATAATAGTGTAAATGTTTGATAATGTTCACAAGTATACAACTAGTAGCGAATTTAGCAAAGCCTCACTATTAGTCACTTGAGTTTTCTTCCTTAAAGAAACATGACCCTATCTCCCAAAAAAAAAAAAAAATCTCTTAAGACATGTAAGATGCTGCTATTTATACATAATAATATATATTTTGTATTCTAATTCCAACCAATGGGAGGAGATGAGGATTGAGGTGGCTTGATAGCCTCATCTATGGACATTAGCTTTATTACACTCAAAACCAACCATCTTATCGGCTATGTTTCCACCCCTGAACGACATGTTTTGGAATAGTTGGTTTTTATCTTGTTCCTTCGTGGGCCAGGCCATTTAGGAGCCGCCTTAGGTCTTAGCGATGATAAATTATTGTCCATACAATGTTATGTGGACCATAATAAAAAATATATTTTTAATATATTAAATGTATATTACACTACTGTAAATTATGAAATTTTTGGCTACCCTCGAAAATGATCTTAAATTAAGTCGAAAGTCTTGTTCCGACCATTTTTGTATTGAAAAAAACTTTTATTGCTATTTCTGACCACTTTTTGCTTTCAATTTGATTTAAGATCACTTTCAGGTGGTTGGAAATTTCATAATTTTCAGCAATATTATTTTTGTACTGTATGTACATCTTAGCGATGATCAATTAAAGAATTAAATAATATAAGGATCATTGGACAATTGTATACCATGGATCAGGATTTATATTGCATTGTGAACCTTGATATAAACTTCTGTACATTCAATTAACACATTCTATACCTACAGTTAGATAATTGCTGACACATAATATGATAGTTACATGTACAGAAACTATTAAGTGCATGTACAAAATGTGTCAACTATAAATACATAATCTTACTTGATAATTGTTGACACATAATATGATAACTACATATACAAAAATTACCAACTGCATGTACAGAATGTGTCGATACAAAATATGAAGATTATTTTTGGACAAGGATCTACAATGCAAGATAGACTATGGTCCATAGTATAATTTGTCACCATCAGATCATTTGGATGTGCAATTATACCCCTTTAACTTCAAAAAACTCCAATTAACTCCTTAAACTTCAATACAGTTATATGACTTATTTGATCCTTATTTCAAAATTAAATTATAAATAACTTTGCATCAAATCTCTAATCATCAAAAGAGGGATGCGGTGGGGTTATGGGGGGTGGGCTGCAGCCTGCAGGTTAGTTGCTATTGACAAAATGTCAAGTAAGCAACTACTTTCTTCTCCAAATGAATGCAAAGCAGCTAGCTAACTAACTGCATTTAATGTCACCCTCTTACTAACATTTTCGACCGTCATTATGGACACAATTCGATCCGCACATGCCTCTACGTTGGACCATCCTGTCGTATATATATACACATCACATACATACATATGGCCGACACATATACGTATATACGTATATTATACTCAATACATTGTACTAGTATATATCTGGTAACACGGTAGGTAACATTAAATGCTTCTCGTTTTGATTATGAGATAACATAATTAATGTACCCATATTTACCAGCCTAGCTTTCTCTCCCAACCGTCCTGAAAGCTGACCATTTGGGAGAAGAAGAATTTAAAGATTCCCCAATCTCTGTATGTGTATCTCCAAGTCGCTTCAGTATCCAATATCTCCCAATTATTAAGGTGCGTTTGTTTGCAATTATTACAGCTTTTCATCTCTGATTTTTCGTGGGTAGTTCATGTTGTTTGTGTGTTTGGTGTTTCATAAGCCCAGTCTATGAATCTTGTCTGAACCATGAATCATCATCGGTACTGTTAATCATGCAGTATCCTTGTCTTTTTAGCCGACAATTTAGGAATCCTAGTGGGATTCTAGGAAGTTTTGAGGTTTCTAACCTGCGGAACTGTAGTCACTATTTGAAGGTGTGTATTGAATTAATTATAAAGAGGTAAACCAGTCTAGATTCTCATTGGCTCAAATTAAGAAGATAATAGACAATTCTTGCTAAGAGTGGAATTTGTAATTTGTTGTTATCGGGTCGATAGTCTGACAACCTGACTGAGGTGACAAGGAAATTAATTACAGGCCACTACTCGAGAGTGCATATAGAGTAAATACACCTTGTGATTCTGACTGATAAAGGACCACAAGGAGGTAAACCAGCCAATTTTGTTCTTTGTATGGAGAGTTAATGAGGAGGGTGTAAGGAAATCTTGAAGTTTTTATTTCTATGATTAGTACTTTTTAGTGGTTGGAGACTTGGAGTAAGTATTCAACTCCCCAACCAAATTTATGAGCTCTGCTAATTTAATATGAGTGGCGGTTTGTGTTTGAAAGTATCCCAGAGTTTTATATTGTTTATTCTTGTTTATCGGAGGTGGTATTATCAGATGAAATGGTGATATGTATAAGTATGGTATAGTTTTCTGCATTTTTAGTTGTTAAGATGGATAGTGCTACTTATTCAGGCATGAGCGGCAAAGAAATCAGGTCCCCGGAGGCGCCTCAGGGGATCCCAACGCCTAGCCGCACGCCAGCGAATAGGAAGAAGCTGGGTATGTACTTCATTGAATCAGATGACCGGAGGACCGCCCTAGGCGGTGGTTACAGTACAGGCGGAGCTACACCGGTCAACATCCGTGGAAAGCCCATTTCAGATTTGTCCAAAACCGGCGGTTGGATTGCTGCATTCTTCATTTTTGGTACCAAATGCCATCCACTTTTTGGATTATGATAAATAAAATACTGTACATTTATATTTTATATATTATATGCTGGACAATTTCTTTTTAGGGAACGAAATGGCGGAGAGAATGGCATACTTTGGGCTGTCTGTGAACATGGTGGCGTTCATGTTCTACGTTATGCACAGGCCATTCACCAGCTCTGCTAATGCAGTCAACAATTTTTTGGGCATATCACAGGCTTCCTCTGTTCTTGGTGGTTTCTTGGCTGATGCATATCTGGGCAGATACTGGACCATAGCCATTTTCACAACAATCTATCTTGTGGTAACCAATCTCCAAACCCAAACTCTTTAAATTGCACCCAATGCAACCTTAATTATGCTTGTTTCTGCAACTTGTAATCTCATTGTCAATCCAATCTCATTCACAAAATGCGAAACCTCTCGCCCCAAGGCTCCATCCTGGCCTCATAGAATTGTAAAGATCGGGTAAATTATGGTGACTCAGCAGTCCATTAAGTGGAAGGACATGCCTAGTGCCCGTATAAGGAGTTTTGCGTTATGGTGACTCCCCAGTGTGGGACGATATGCCTAGTGCCTATAAAGAATCATGGGTGAAAGTCCCACATTACAAATGTTTGGGCTGCATTTGCGTCATGGTGACTCAGTAGTTCATTAGGTGGGAGGACATGCCTACTGCCTATAAGGAGTTACTCCTGGGTGAAATTTCAGCATTACAACTGAGACTGCATTTTGCGTCATGGTGACCCAGCAGCCCATTAGGTGAGAGGACATGCCCGGCATGTCCCTATAGGGAGTCACTCTTGAGTGAAATTCCCACATTACAACTGCCCGGACTGAATTTTACATTATGCATGGTAACTCAGTAATTCATTAGGTGGGAGGACTAGTGTCTTGCCCGCGAAGAGTGACCCAGACAAAAGGGTTAAACTCTCGCATTGTAGTTGCTAGGGCTTGATTTACATTATATTGAAATGAGATTTTTTGTGTGGTTTTGGTTTTATGGAGGGATTAATAGGAATAACCCTGTGTGCAACGATGAAAGGTCTAGTCCCAAACCAAGACGAGTGTGATCAGCTTTCACTTCTTCTGGGCAGTTGTGAGCCAGCAAAGCCATGGCAGATGACATATCTCTACACAGTCCTATACGTCACAGGATTCGGGGCTGCAGGGATAAGGCCATGCGTTTCCTCCTTCGGGGCCGACCAGTTCGACGAGAGAGACAGAAACTACAAACAACACCTCGACAGATTCTTCAACTTCTTCTACCTCTCCGTCACCGTCGGCGCCATTGTCGCCTTCACCGCCATCGTCTACATTCAAATCCAGCACGGTTGGGGCTCTGCGTTCGGGTCCTTGGCCGTCGCCATGGGGCTGTCCAACGTTGTTTTCTTCGTGGGTACGCCGTTGTATCGCCATAGGTTGCCCGGCGGCAGCCCTCTCACGCGCGTCGCTCAGGTTCTCGTCGCCGCATTTCGAAAGAGGAATGTTCCGTGGGATAAGAGTGAGTTTGTTGGCCTTTATGAACTCCCCGGAAAACGCTCCGCCGTCAAAGGTAGCAGCAAGATTCCTCACACAGATGATTTCAGGTAATATTATATATGGATTAGATGTCTATAAATATATTGATTGTATCCTATTTTGCCTTTCTTTACTTTTCTGCAATTATTATTGTTTCTTCTGAAATTGGTTAAATTGTGTAGATGTTTGGACAAAGCAGCATTGCAGCTAAAGGAAGACGGAATGAGTCCAAGTCCATGGCGGCTTTGCACCGTAACGCAAGTGGAAGAAGTTAAGATCCTGATAAAGCTGCTTCCAGTTCCGGCCTGCACCATAATGCTAACGCTAATCCTAGTGGAGTTTCTAACCCTCTCCGTCCAGCAAGCATACACGCTCAACACACACATCGGCCGCCTCAAACTTCCGGTGACCTGCATGCCCGTCTTCCCCGGCCTCAGCATCTTCCTCCTCTTCTCTCTCTACTACTCCGTCTTTGTACCCCTCTCCCGCCGCATCACCGGCCACCCTCACGGCGCCTCCCAGCTCCAGAGGGTCGGCATCGGTTTAGCCGTTTCCATCGCCTCGGTGGCCTGGGCCGGCGTCTTCGAAAGGTACTGTTAGTTAGTGTTGCAAAAATCAGGTGGTCAGTCTCCTAGGCGCCCGCCTAGACGCTCTAGGCGGTTTCAGGTGCCTAGAAGGCGGCACCTAGGCGCTAAGCAATCGGTCTCCTAGGGGTCGCCCAGACGCTCTAGGCGGTTCCAGGTACCTAGAGGGCTGCGCCTAGGCCTACGCAGTCGGTCTCCTAGGGGCCGCCCAGACGCTCTAGGCGGTTCCAGGTGCCTAGAGGGCGGCGCCTAAGTCCTAGGCAGTCGGTCTCCTAGAGGCCGTCCAGGCGCTCTAGGCGGTTCCAGGTGCCTAGAGGGCGGCGCCTCCGCCCAGGCGCCCTAGACGGTTCCAGGTGAGTAGAGGGGCCTAGCGATTTTTTCAACATTGCTGTAAAAGATACAAGATTGCCAACTCATTCTTCTTCTTCTTCCTAAGCTCTGTGTTATTTTGACAGGTACCGGAGAAACTACGCGATTAAACACGGGTATGAAGCGAGTTTCTTGACGGCAATGCCGGAGCTGAGCGCGTACTGGCTGCTGATTCAGTACTGTCTGATAGGGATCGCAGAGGTGTTCTGCATAGTGGGATTGCTGGAGTTTCTATACGAGGAAGCGCCGGACGCGATGAGAAGCATAGGGTCGGCTTACGCCGCCGTGGCCGGCGGTCTGGGGTGCTTTGCGGCCACAATACTGAACAGCATTGTGAAAGGCGTAACCGGCGGGAAGGAAGAGGAAGGGCGACAGTCGTGGCTGTCTCAGAATGTAAATACCGGACGATTCGACTACCTTTACTGGCTGTTAACGTTGCTGAGTGTGGTCAATTTCTGCGGTTTTGTGTACGCCGCCCGCCGGTATCAGTACCGGAAGAAGCCCGGAGCTGAGACGGACCTGCCGGCGGCGAAAACTGAGCTACAAGCCGTAGCAGAGTGAAGCTGCGTTGAATTCTTTTTGGATTTGTTTGCTTATACCTTTCGATTTTAATTACACCAAATTAAAAGCATTTTGGATTTCCATAGAAATGGACCTCACATGTAACATGTTGATGTTCTGCATTAATGTGAACCAGCTATCATTCCTACTCATTATCATGCATGTTTATTGTATTAACATTGGGGGATTTTTGGTAAATAGCTAGCTGATTGAGTTAATGAGTTTGACTAGTTGATAGTATTAGCTTATTGTGAAAAAATATTTGTTAAATTAGTGGTTAGCTAATAGTTGATTACATGCAAAATGACTTTTAAAAAAATATGATAAGAAAAGCTTTTTTTGAGCAGTTTTTTGAATTTAATTTTTAACACTTTGGAACAATGAGCTGTTACACAATAGCTAATTAATCAAACACTCATATTAATTGTTTAATCAAGTCAAACATTTACTTACACAAGGTATCACTTAATATATAATTTTGAAAAAAAGGGGTTCAGAACAAAAAAAAACTTGGCTAAAAAAAAAAAAAAAGAGTTGATGTGATTTCATTGAAACTTGAGAGTCCATGTTACTATGTTAATTAGTTTATCGCAATGAATGTGATCTTTTTATTAATCTAATGATACATTTAAAAAATTACCTTTATACTATACTGGCCACCTCTGACCCATTCAGTGAAACCGGTTTGGGTTTGAACCATGGAGACATTAGACATATGTTGTCACTTAGTTCTGCTTCACAATGCCAAACATAGTAAGCAGCCTTCTCTCTTCTAGGAGAATTAGTAATGTAATGTTCACATGAATTATATTAGTGTAAAACGAAATGTAAGATTGGGCAGAAGTTGAGTCTAAAATAGAATAAAAGTGGGCTGTACAGAACATGAGTCAAACAATGCTAGAAAATTAAATTCAACCAATTAAATCATCTATTTCATAAAATTATTTCGTTTTTAAAAAAAATTGTCAAATAGGTTTTTAACTTTATAGGAGAAGTGAATTAAGTTCCTAATGAACTTTTAAAAGTAGCAATTAAACACATCATTTCATGATTTTAGTGCATCTATATGGAGCTACATAGGAGGTTACTGGATTTACGTGAATTAACCGATTATTTTTGGGTCTGAGTGCATGAAAATTACGAGTTGATGTGTTTAATAATTATTTTTAAAAGTTTGAAGGTTTAATTGATTTTTCTTATAAAATTCAAGGGCCTATTGAATTACTTTTCCATTCGTTTTATCTATTTCTCTCTCTTCTTTTTTTTTTTTTGTTTTTTTTGTTTTTTGTTTTTTGTTTTTTCTTAATATTTTATTATAAACATGAGACTGTTTCTTAAGTACTCTTAAGTCTTTAACAATTAAGCCATGCTAATTGCTAAGTAAAAATTTTGAGGTATAATAACGTTAACATATTTGGATGAAAAATGCTTTGGATTGTACATTTTTACCACGTTTTTGCTCACGTGAGCTCAACTAATTAAGCTAAAGTCTTTACATTATATAGGTCACCATCGTCGTATCCAGCAGGCAAACTAGTGGCTACAAGTTAGACTAGTTTGAATTGGCTCTCAACTCCTAGCTTGCTAGCTACAGGATACAATATGTGAATCAAAATTTGAACTCTTTAAAACTAGATAGATGAAAATAATTGCAATATAATCAAATTGTTTGGATTATTTATTTGAAGGAAAATAATTTTTGATCGGAATTCATATCCTTAAATTCATACATATAGACCGTCGAAGATTTAGATGAGTACACATCTCCGGTAAAAAGTGTGGACATATTCATCTACACTCCATCTTGAAAAATCAAATATGCTAGAATCTTATCATTACTAAATTTTCAATAATTATGAAATTGATCAAGACAAGCCGTTCACATCCCTCTCTATTTTTCAGTATAGATATAGTAGCCCTGACATATGCGATGTGGGAATCACATCTAATGTGGTTGGCTCCTTGTGGACACCAAACACTTGTCCTTTCACTTAATATGGGCGGCTGAATCAGTGATTTATCACCTCCACAAATCTTGTCAAGTTAGAATGTAGGGCTCACTATCAAAGATTTTAACCTTTGTGAACAATTTTCTTCTACACCCACTCTCCTAACTCTTCTCCACTCACAAATTTATGACACCAAGCTAAGTCTATTCGAATATTGACTCTTGAACATCTTGAGTTAACTAAATCTGTCAAATACAATTACGATTTTGCATTGTCTTATCTCCTCATTATCAGGTCCATATATAGTATTCTTATTTATTTCAAATCTAACGTATAATTGAACTAAACCTTAAAATTTGCACTCCAATATATAGATGGTCTCGTCAAGGCATCAAACATTATCTATCAGTCCTCAAATTTGGGATGTTTTAATTTTACACTTGTCTGCTTTCCTTATTGTAAATTCATGACTTTATTAATTAAATATGCAGCTTATAGCAACAATGAATGAATAGTCTCATCTTCGCATAGCATGCAGTCTGATCTACTTAATTATTAATTAGTTTGATAAAGAAATTAACATCCTTTTTGACTGGCTTCAATTCTTCTCAAGGTGTGAATGGTATTAATTAATGTTCAAAGTGTGCCTTTTCATGACTTTGAAATTTGAATCACCAAAATGTTTGACTAGATGACAATACTTCTAGAATGACCCAAGGACAAAAGAGGAAGGAAAACTCCACTAGAGTACTATTCCTGGTCTAGTAGATCTCTTTCCCCGGCTCTCATTCTGAATAGTTTCGAGTAATTCTTTTTCCCCACGATACTTGAATCAAGATTCTAACTCTATCACAAAGTTAAACTTAAAAGTGGAGGTTTAGCTCCAATTCAACTTAAGTACTTCTCTATAATCTCCTATTGAATCAGTATGGAATTGTATAAGTTGATGACGATATCTCTATAGGTTACTCAACAAGAAAGCATACATAATTTAACAATTTTCAGTCCAAGGTTTCATAATACAAAAATTCAAACCAAGTAGAATTATGTGATTGTATAGCTCAATCCAAAAGTTCAGCCTATTGGTAAGATTGAGAACTTCTTGAATAATTTAACCACTATTTCTATAATCTTTTGTAAAATATAATCGTGGTAGGAACTAGGAATATAACAATTTTTATTTTTAGAATATGTTCAATTTTTGTGGTGTTGAAATTTAGGTTACGTTGGAGATGTTGGTTTCACACACGTAAAGAAGCTATATAATTAGCACATGCACGCACACATACGTAAAGCCCAAAAGCTAGTCGCAAAGAAAGATTCTGCCCATGGAATTAAGATTCGTAAGTAGAAAGATCCAAGTTCTTTTGAGTGACTTTAGACTGCTATTTTTTTTTCCCTCTAATTCAAATGTGATTTATAACTAATGAATTGAAACACCACTTCCAACATAACTAAAAGAAAAAAAAATTATATAGAGCAATAATTATAGACTGAATCTACCAGACATAATTAATGGACTAAAATTATGTCATTTCCTTTCATATATATATATATATATATATATATATATATATATATATATATATATATATATATATATATATAAATGAAAAATAAGTGTTATTGAATTTTTATGTATTATTTTAGAGGTAATTAAAGTCGATAAAGTCTTGTTTTAAATGAAAAATTTTTAAATAAGATTTTTTAAGTGATGCAACTTATAATAGAGCTAACTTGTTTGGTCCATTATTAGTTCAAATTTGTGATGAAAATTTTCTCAAAACAAAACTACTTTGTACATTAAATTTCTTCCATGGTGATATTTTGCCTATTAGTAAAGATTACATATATAAATTGGGAAAATGATGATTTTAATTCCCGTATTTTAGGTGTTTTAATGTCTTTGTTGATTAGTCAGATTCTTTGCTCTTTTTCTGTACTAGTGCTTTAATTTATCTAGAGTATATGTTTTCTTTTTTCTTGGTGAGGTAGCAATTAACTTTATCCGATCCCTAGGCTTAATTGTAAGAATTGCTAACTTCGTCAAATAATGCATGCCCATCCAACTAGTCACTCATGCCATACGCTTGAAGTTGGCCTTCATATATCCTCTTATTTTGGCACCCTAGCTTGTTGAAGACATTAAAGAAATAGCTATGAACTTTATTGATATTACTTTTTTTTTTTTTTTTTTTTTTTTTTTTTTTTGCTTAAAATGTTTTGCAAATATGTATGTTCACATTTTTGCTAGAGACACCATTTCTATGTCAGGCTTTGGTGAACGATTGTTTACTCTTTTTTTTTTTTGTTTTTTTTTTTAAGATGTAACTTAATTTTGTTGATTTGAATGGTCAATATAAGTTTTTCCTTAAAGAAAAAGTCACTATCAGAAAAAAAAAAAAAAAATTGGCATACACATAGAAGTAATTGTCTCGAGTCTAAATCAAGTAACTCCATACTGAAAACAAGAATGAGATAATAAAGACAATGAGAGAGCTAAACATCTTGTGCTCAGATGACATGTAGTGACATCTTCCATGTGGGAGGTTATGAGATCGAGCCTCAGTGTAGGTGTTGTTAACGTACACTTTGTGCAATGTACCCCTGTGTGACCCGTATTTTTGAATCTACTGCGCATGGTGAACACGTTTCGACAGCGTAACTATTGCTGGCCACGAGGGTCCTTCAATCCGCACCTTGCCCGGGCCTTAGCTTGTTCTTCAGTATTTTACACACCTTGCTAAGTCCTTTGCATCCCGCCCGAACGGCCCTTGCTCCCTTGGTCTCACACACTTTAACTTCTCTTTTTAGACCGTACTCGATATATATATATATATATATATATATATATATATATATATATATATATATATATATATATATATATATATATATATCATCCTACTTAAAAGTTGCATTTTATATGCAACAAAACAATAAAGGGGTTAACATTTTACATAAATGTAAAATGGCCATGGCCACAATAGCAGGATCAAAATGACTATATCATCAAAACACATGAACCAAAATCACTATTTTAATTTCCTTAATTTCCTTATATAAATATAAATACATAATAAGTTAGTTTAAGTTCATATTTCACCTGCTATTCTATAAGATATATGTTTAAAATATAAATAAATAAATATAATAGATTCATTATATATATATATATATATATATATATATATATATATATATATATCTACAAATTTAATAAGA